TGCGGGGCGATGGGGGGCCGGCGGCCGCCTGCCCCCGGCCCCCCTGCGCGGGCACGGCCCCTCTCTCCTTCTCACCTCCTTCCCTCCCCAGCGAGGCTGAACAACTGGCCCCCGCTGCCGTCCTTCTGCCCGGTGAAGCCTTGCTTCTACCAGGACATCCCCGTGGAGATCCCTGCCGACTTCCAGAAGACCGTGACTACCATGTATTACCTCTGGATGGGTGAGTCCCGGGGGGGAAGCGAAGGGCAGATCCTGCGAGGAGGTAGAGGACCAAGCGTCCTGCGTGCCAGCGAGCGCCGCTGCCCCGGCGAAGCTGCGATCAACCCGCGGTGCCGGGCTCTGGGGGGCTGAGCCCTCGGTGCGGGGCAGGGGAGCCTTGCTGGCCTTGCCTGACCGACGTCCTCTCTCTCAGCCAGCACCATTGCTCTCTTCCTGAACTTCTTGTCCTCGCTGGCCTGGTTCTGTGTGGAGCCCTCGTCCGGTTCTGGGTTCGGCCTCTCCATTCTCTGGGCTCTCCTCTACACGCCCTGCTCCTTTGTCTGCTGGTATAGGCCGATGTACAAAGCTTTCAGGTGTGTATATCAGGTTGCTCTCTACAACTGCCTGAAAGGAGGCTGTAGCGAGATGGGGGTCGGTCTCTTCTCCCTAGTAACGAGTGACAGGACGAGAGGGAACGGCCTCAAGCTGCGCCAGGGCAGGTTTGGGTTGGATATTAGGAAAAACTTCTTCCCCAAAAGGGTGGTCAAGCACTGGCCCAGGCTGCCCGGGGCAAGGGTTGAGTCTCCATCCCTGGATATATAAAAAGAACGGAGAGATGTGGCCAAAAGGGTGGTCAAGCACTGGCCCAGGCTGCCCGGGGCAAGGGTTGAGTCTCCATCCCTGGAGGTATTTAAAGACCGGATAGATGTGGTGCTCGAGGACATGGTTTAGTGGTGGCCTCGGCAGTGATAGGTTAATGAACGGTTGGACTCGATGATCTTGAGGGTCTTTTCCAACCTTAACGATTCTATGATCTGCTTGAGCTCCCAGGTCGGCAAAGCAGCGGGGTGGGATGGCTGCAAGGCCGGTGCTTGAGGCTGGGGAGACCGGGCTGCTCGGTAGAAGAGTCCCTTGCCCCGAGCGCGGCACCGATGGTGTCCCAGCTCCTTTTGTGGCCTTTGGGATGTGGCGATGCTGCGCCGAGCTGCTGGCTGAGGAGCAGATCTTGCTTTGGATGGGGCTCTTCTAAGGAGGGCGCAGGGCGGTGCTTTCCCGTGGGCAGCTGAAGATCCCTGCAGCGCCTCGTGCCTCTTCCTCGGATTTCTCCTTGCTTTTAAGTCCCTTAAGCAGTGGCTGCACCTCTGGGGCCTGCGCGTCCTCCTTGCGTCCCCCGCTCCGAGGAAGGTTTGAGAGTTGTTTTCTGTGGCCTGACCTCGCCTGTCTCTTTCTCCCAGGAGCGACAGTTCGTTCAACTTCTTTGTCTTCTTCTTCGTCTTCTTTGCCCAGAACGTGATGTACGTGCTGCAGGCGATTGGCATCCCAAACTGGGGGTTCAGGTGCGCATTGTGCTGACCCAGAGTACCCCAGAGTGGGGGGAGGCGGGTGGGGAAGAGGGAACCTGTGGGTAACTGCCTCTTGTTTTGCAGCGGCTGGATATTGAGCCTGATAGCGCTGCGGACGAACACGGCCGTGGCTGTGATGATGATCCTGGTGTCCTTGTTCTTCACAGCAGTGGCTGTGCTGGGCATCATTATGCTGAAAAAGGTGAGTTTGGATCGAACCTCGGGGCCAGCGCGCCCCTTCGGGGGGATGGGGGTGGCTTTTGGCAGGCGTGGGGGGCCCGGCTCTGTTCACTGGGGGCCCGAACGGGGCCGGTGCGCTGACCCCGAGCCTGCCGCTCCCCGTCAGA